CAATACACATTTTTAGAAAGTGTTACACACTTTCAAAAAATTACATAATGTAAGGTATTGCGGTCATGTGCAATTCCTTGATGTCTTAATTGGCATTGGCTGGGAGAAAGAGCATTGTGTAACCGATTTTCACTGATGACGTGTGGCCTTCAATCAACTCCTATTGGTAAGCATGTTTCTACTCTTATCAGACTCTCCCCTCATCAGACGTGGGATGTAAGGAAAATCCCTTTTTCCTTATGGAGCCTCGCTAACATGGAGTACAGCCCTGACTTTCGGAAATCCAGGCTCGGCCCGACAATTCAGATTCGAACTACGTTCGAGATGTCAAACATATGTGTGTATGTTTAGTAGACTACATAGGGTCATGCCATAGAGAGTACAACCCACTAGCTATATACCCCTGTATGCCCACATTCTAGTAAACTATTCCAACTCTAAGATGGTATCATGAGTAGGTTAGTTCCCCCAACCCCCCCCCCCCCTCGCGCTTCCGCCTTAGGTCCTAGCCGCCCCGCTGGCCCCATTGCCCCGTCGCCTAGCTGGCCCGTTGGCCCCGTCTCCTAGCGCCTGCTGGCCCCGCGGCCCCGTTCCCTAATGCCTAGACGCCCGTGGCCCCGTCACCTCGCACAGCCGCCTCGCTCACCCCGCGGCCCCGTCACCTAGCGCCTAGCCGCCCGTGGCCCCGCGGCCCCGTCGCCTAGCGCCTAGACGCCCTGCTGGCCCCGCGGCCCCGTCATCTAGCGCCTCGCCGCCCGTGGGCCCGTCATCTCGTCACCTGGCGCCTAACGGCCCCGTGGCCCTGTCGCCCCGTCGCCTTGCGCCTAGCCATCCTGCTGGCCCCGCGGCCTCGTTGCCCCTAGCGTAGCCGCCTCGTCGGCCAATCGCCTAGCCGCCCCGTCGCCTAACTGCCCCGTCACCTAGCCGCCCCGTCGCCTAGCCGCCCTGCGGCCTCGTCACCCCGCTGCTCCGCGGCCCCGTCGCCCATCCACCCCGCGGCCCCGTCACCCATCTGCCCCACGGCCCTGTCGCCTAGCCACCCCGTCGCCTAGCCGCCCCGCGGCCTCGTCGCCCCGCTGCTCCGCAGCCTCGTCGCCCCGCTGCTCTGCGGCCTCGTCGCCCAGCTGCCCCGCGGCCTCGTTGCCTAGCCTCCCCGCGGCCCCGTCGCCCAGCTGCTTTGACGCCCCCTCCCCCACCCTTGGCCGTGTATCCCGGTCCCCGCTCGTTAAACCGGCCCTCTCCACCGTCCTGCACTGCGGCCCACCGTGTTGCACCGCTCAGCACCGCGCAGCACCACACTGCACTGTGCCCCACCACACTTCACTACACTGCACCGCGCCCCACCGCACTGCACTGCTCCGCACCGCGCGGCGCTGCACTGCACCGCGTTCCACCGCACTGCACCGTACAGCACTGCTCTCCACTGCTCCTCTTCATTCCGTCTCACCCTTCACCGCCTGTTAGCGGCTGCAGCGGCCATAATGACGGACTCGGCGCTGCGCTTTGACGTGGAGGGTCAGCCGGTTGAGTTCTACGCATGGCTCATTTACCTCTGCCGTCACCTCACTGGTCAGCGGCAAGATGGCCACTCCCTGGCCGTCCACACTGACAATATGCTCCCCTGCCCTGACCCCCCTGCTGCTCTCCCCGCTGACCCCACGTTTGCTGACCATGAGTCCGCCACCGCTGCTGCCCTTGCCCATGCTGTCTGGCTGTCGCGTAACGCTGTCGTTCAGGTCGTGATTAGCCATGCCCTCCCCCTGTCTGAGCGCCCTCGCTTTAAAGCCCGACCGGCAAGTTGCATATTGGTACTGTTGAAGTAGGTGGGACGACATGTTACGATTGGTTGACGAGGAAAAAGTTAAGCGAAATGTTTTTGCAAAACTTCATATTCGTCCAGCTCGGGCTGGCGCGAGAGTCCCCAACAGTTACGCAACCTGGCAGAGGTGTCAGGTTTGAGCCCCGTCATTTGGCAGGGGACTCACACCTGCCTCTTTGCCATGTTGCAAGGGGGGTTTTCGAGCCTGCGTTTTTGCGCTAACAGCCCACATTGTTTTTTTTTTTTTTTAGGGCAAGTTGAAAGGAAACGAGACTCAACTATTGGGCTTCGGTTTTGCCCTTGTGCAATCAAACACGCATTGGTACACTTGCGATAAACCGCCCGAAAGTCAAAATTTGTACGAGTAATTACCCTTTGAGCACACTTCGTGCTTCTTCACCTAGATACTTGGCAAGGACGCAAACTTGCCAAGTTTGTCGAGGCACTGAGTTGAGGTGTTTGAGTCTCGTCAACCACTGCTGCGGGTGGGTTCGGTTACAGGTTCTCAAGATGCAGCATCTTGAGAAAAAGAGAGTTGCAACCTGCTCGTCGGGCTTTAAGTCGGTCATGACTGCGCAGGAGTTCTTAGAGGCGGTTGTCGAGCGTTATTCCACCCCGTCCTCTGCCACTGCCGGCCGCCTGATCCTTCCCATGCTCTTCCCTGATCTCGCGTCTTTCTCCACCGTCGCTGACCTGGCCACGCACCTGCGCATGCTCGACGCGAGCTTTTGCTCGTTTTTGCTTGCATTGAGGCCCAGCTTAGTGTGTTTCAACCCCCTTTCTACTTTTCCCTTTACCTGCTTGCCACCCGCCTCCCTGATTGCCTGGCTACTACCCATGACCACTTTCAGAGTCTGCACCCCGCTGACCTCACCCTCCTTAACTTCGTCGACACCCTGTCTGCCATAGAGACCTGTCAGCGCTCTATCGCCCAGTCTAGCGGTACTGCGCCAGTCCCTATCTTTCAGGGCTGTGCTCCCGCTCAGTGCACTTACTCGGGCGGTTCAGCGGCTATCACTGAGACAGCCCTTGCTGCTGAGACCGCTACCGCGGTGGCCGCAGCACAGTCCCATTATGGTAAGGCCCGCCGCCCCAAGGCTTGGCGCGGCGCTGGTAGTGGAGGAGGGGGTGAAGGTGGTGGTGGAGGTGGTTCTTCCGCTGGTGGTAGTACTGACAAGGGGGATGGGTTTGGTGCCTTGGAGCAGCAGCCCCAGCGGGAGGAGCAGCAGTCGCCACAGCTTGACCGGCAGCAGCAGTCACAGCGGAGGGCCAGCCGCTTCCCGCCTGGATGGCCTGGCGTCGGTGGTGGTGGTGGTTGCGATGGTCGTGCGCGTAGCTTGTCGTTGAGTGGTGGTGCGAGTGATGGGCGCTGCCAGTTCCAGCTCCAGACCGGTCCTCACCGCGGCCTCGTGTGCAGTAAGATCGGTCATACCCGCACTCGCTGTTTCAGTCGCCTGGACGACCTGTTTCGTCTCCGCTTCGGCCCCGCGCCGGACCTCCACGACTGGCACAATCTGCTCCGCCGTGGTGTTAGGATCTTTGATATGGACATGGATGAGATTAGCTCTGCTTTGTAGGCGTTGTATGTCGATGAATTTAGTGTGACTGGTTTCTATTACCCCGTGTTGCCCAGTGTAGGTGTGCCCAGTGTGCCTAGTTTAGGCTCCCCTGCTGCACCCCTAGCCGCCCCTTCCGCGCTCTTCTTCACTCTCGACTCTGGCGCGTCTCGGTGTTTCTTTCGGGACCACACTACGCTGACGCCGCTGACCATCCCTGCCACAGTTGCCCTTGCAGACCCTTCCTCAGGTCCGGTAGTCACCCATAGTTCCACCACCTTCCCCTGTCCGGCAATTCCTTTGGGGTCTCTTACAGGCGTGCACATCCCCTCGTTCTCACGGAACCTAGTTGGTGTCGGCTGCCTTCAGTACCTCGGCGTCACCACTACGTTCCCTGGTCATGAGAGGTACGCTGTCTGTACCGAGGCCGCCACTGGTGCCCCCCTCACAACGTTCCCCCGGGACCCGGTGTCTGGCCTGTTCACGCTGGACACCACATCCCCCCCGGTTGGAACGCCCCCCCAGATGGCAGCGTCTACGCAGGTAGCTGCGGCTTGCTCGTGTCGGTCGCTTACTCACCCGTCCCTTCTGTGGCACCACCGCCTAGGTCACCCTGCCCTCACTCGTCTCCGTCACATGTCTCACCACGGTCTTGTCTTAGGTCTCCCTGAGTCATTCCTTGCGCTTCCCTCCTCAGCAGCGCCTCCGTACACCCCATGCGTTGAGGGCCGGCTCCTCCGTGCCCCTCACACCTCTTCGTTCCCCCCCACCACCGCACCGCTGCAGACCCTGCACATGGACGTCTGGGGCCCTGCCCCTGTCCATGGCCCGCGTCGTGAGCGCTACTTCCTAGTGCTTGTCGATGACTACACTCGCTACACCACCGTGTTTCCCCTGGAGCGGAAGGCCGACGTGCTTGACGTTCTTATCCCGTGGCTAGTCTCTGCGTGTGTGCACCGAGCTCTCCCTGTGTTGCGTATTCACTCCGATCGTGGTGGCGAGTTCATCTCTGGCTGCCTTGGTCGCTTCTATCATGCGGAGGGCATCACCCAGATGTACACCCTTCCGGACTCCCCGCAGCAGAATCGGGTCGCTGAGCGACGCATCGGCTTGGTCATGGAGGTGGCTCGTACCTCCATGATCCATGCCGGTGCACCCCATTTTCTGTGGCTGTTCGCCATTCACTACGCCGCCCACCAGCTTAACCTGTGGCCGCACCCTCAGCGTCCGCAGGTTTCGCCGACCCTCCTCTGGACCGGGTCTTCTGGTGACGTGTCTGCGTTCCACGTCTGGGGCTGCCTTGCTCACGTTCGTGCCTCTGGCATGGACAAGCTCACTGCCCGCATTGTCCCCTGTGTCTTCCTCGGTTTCCCTCTCGACTCGTCTGAGTGGCACTTCTACCACCCGCCATCTTACCGTTTCTTTCACTCTCGCGACGTCACCTTTGACGAGTTCGTCTCCTTCTACCACCGCTTTCCCCAGCGTGGTCCCCTAGTTACTTCCCCCTGTTCCTGGTCCCCCCTCCCCCAGTCGCCCCTGCTCCTCCCCCTTCCCATTCTGCCCCGTCTGGTGTGTCTCACATCACCCCCCTCCCGTCGGTTGTCCCTGCCGAGGAGTTCTCTGACTCTCGCGGCTCGGCGGAGTCCCTTCCACCGCCTGTCCCCACCTTGGTCTCTCCTCCCCTGTCGCCGACGTTGCTGTCGCAGCCACAGCCACCTCCGCAGCTGCCGTCGCCGCCGCAGCCGCCGTCGTCACCACCGCTGGGGTTTGTGCGTTCTGGGGGTGCTGGGGAGCGTGCCGGAGCGGGTACTGGAGTGGGTTCCCGTTCTGGGGGTGCTGGCATGGGGCTTCTTGGAGGTAGCCGTGGTGCCGCTGGAGGTTCTGGTGTTGGCGTCGGGCAGCAGCCGCCGCAGTCGCCGTCGGTGTCCGCTCTTCGCCTACTCGCCCTTCCTTCCCCTGACCGCCCACCGGTGCCTCCTCCGTCGCCACCGCCTCCTCCTCTGCCAGTCTACGGCCCTGTGTTTCCTCCAGCGGACTCTTCTTTGGCTTGTTTTTGTCACAAGATCGAATGTGTCGAGGAAAGGTTTGCTCAATGTTGCACTATCAATCAGTACAAGGGGCTTTTATACTTCCATAATACATCAGGTAACCAGGTTTATCCTATCCAAAAGGAATAGACCCTTCTAGAAATAGAATCACCATGCGTATAGCCACGTGAGGCTATTGGCTTTAAGGGATTATGGCAGGATTACGCTAGATAGAGCGCGCCAGTACATCCCGAGTCTGGTCGGTGATATAATCATAATAACAGGCTAAACCAAAGGATAATGGAAAAGGAGGAATAGGAAACCAAATGAGATGAGATAAAGACCAAATGAATTAGGATAAAAAGAGGAATGAAATAGAAAGGAAATATGGAAAGGGGAAATTGGTGTAACGGTGTCGTACTCTCACACTTCCCCCCCTCAAAGCTGGGTGGTAGAAGTAGCACCCTGCTTGACAAGGTAGTCGCGAAGAGGACGACAGGCGTTACCCATGTCGAATTCAGAGACGCAGCCTCAGAAGTATCATAACCCTTCCAGTAAGGAAGAAGCTACAGAGTGCCATTCTGACGATGACGGTGTCCAAGCACGTAGTTGTCCCATGTCGTGGATGAACACGGGCGACGACGGTGGTTGGCATTCGGTGTAGAGCGTGTTTGGTCTTGATAGGGTTTAAGAAGCTGGTATGGAAGGTGTTTTGGATCTTCCAAGTGGCTGGTAGGTGGAAGCGGAAGGTAACAGGAGTGACCTGTGCTTCAACGAGGAAAGGCCCGCAGAAGCGAGGTCGCAGTTTGGATGGGAGATGGCTGATATCAAGATTGCGCGTGTCGAGCTGTATTCGGTCTCCCACAGTGATGGTGTGGTCTGTGCGGTGGCGATCGGCCTGGCGTTTCGGTTGTTTCTGAATGTCGAGAAGGCGCTGGTGGGTCCGATCCTGAAGTTTGTCCATGGTCGTGACGAAATCATGAGCAGGTTGGACTGTAGCAAGAACTGTCTGTTGCTACGGAATGAGCGAGCTCCGTCCACAGTAAGGAAGGATGGTGTGTATCGTCGTCAGTGATATATGGGCAGGTGCAAGTTGCAGTTGGAGATGTGAATGGTTGGAACGGTATGCTGTAACGTGCAGATGAATGGCTATGTTGTCCAATCTGTGCATGCTGTTACCCGCATTTGGTCCACGTGTGAAGATCACGAAGTGTTGGTGGTATGGCAGTCGTGCCATAGTACTGCTTCTGTAGAAGTGTTGTATCCGATACATGCAGCTTTTGTCGAATGCTGGTCCATGCCGTAGTGTTGTCGCAAGTTGTACCCACTCGGCATCGTAGCGCTACTCAGCGTATCCCTTGTGTTCAGAACCATGCGAGGGGGCCGGTACCATAAACGCGGAGCTGGTAATTTCCAGAATCGGCGCCAAGTAGTTTCTCTCGGTGGTTGCTCAAGCAAGGAATCTCTGCTGCGTAGATATCCCACGGTGATGGGTTAGGACATTCGGGAATGTTGGGGCCCTTCCCAAATAATCCTCTCCCATTTCCAAGTAAGCATTGGTAACAGCCAATCCAGTATGACCTTATGCACTTCCAGTTTAGCACGGAGGCCATTGGTAGGCATCGGTGTCTGGGTGCACATATTGGGATAGGTCTTCTGGTGCCATCATGTGTTGTCTCATTCTGTTACTGTCCTTGAATAAGTGTTGATGTCGAAGATGTCTCAGCTACTCAGCATCAATGTTGAAGTCTGCTCCATTTCGGCAAACAGGGGTATTGGAGATACGCGGAGTCCACTATCCAGAGTGGCGCCAGCGCTCCATTCCACGCCTATCTGCTTCCGTGGAGTTTGTGCTGGTGATGGATTGGTTGTGACGCAGGTTTTATGACTTTGAGGAAAGCCATACGCCATGAAGACTTGTATACCGGTAGAGTACCGTAGTCCTCCCATCCTCATAAGAGCAAATTTCTTCTGCTCTTGAGGGTATATGGCATTGCCATGTTGTTCCCTCGCATAGTGGTATCTCCTTCCCACTAGCTGGAAATCATAGTATTGTGCCTGGCCGGGCCTTTACGATCATACTGGAATATAATCCAGCGGTATCTCCATTGAGCGGAGAATTATCCATCAGGGTTTGGATATTTGTGTCGAGCTTTCTGCTGCGGCGGCGGCGGCGGTTGCGACGATGGCGACGGCGGCAGCTGCTGCAGAGAATTCTCTCAACTCGTACCATCAACTCCTGCAGCAGCTGAGAGAATGATTGTTGAAGTTGAAGGAACACTCCTGGTAGTTACGCCTGTTACACCCATCAGGAACACTCTACTGCGAAGAGGGAGTTGATGGATTCTCCTTGATGAATTGAGAGAACTCCTGTAGTTGAAGGAGAATCCATCAACTCCCTCTTCCCAGTAGAGTGTTCCTGATGGGTGTAACAGGCGTAACTACCAGGAACACGTGCACATTAGTACACATGTGTTGCTCTATTGCTGCCGGTGATTGTTTCATTTAAGGGTATGAAGAGAAACTTGCTTCTCCCCTCAATGTATCCACGGGTAGCAATTCCTGGTATGCTCATCCGTGCCTCCGATGTACGGTCGGTAGAGCACGTGATCGTGTTGTAGTAGTCCGCATCTCCATCACGTGTTGACAGCTCGTGTTGCTTGGCGTTCTCCTGCATCGTCGACGTTACGCTGGTGCTTGTAACGCTTCGGCTTCTGGTGGAATCGCCTCCAATACATGTGTCGTAGGGTCGCTAGTGAACGAGTACTTGCCGGATTTGAGGTTAATTAATCCTCCATCTGTCAAGCATCGTGACATGCACGGAAACATTTCCACGCATGTCATTAACCCCTGGAATCGCGACGCATGATTGGTGTGTCGCCTCGTGAGGTCGATGTTGAGACTGCTCCAACCAATCACTTCGGATGGCTGAGATTCTTGATGAAGACGAATCGTTCAGCTCCTGTTTATGAAGTAGTGTCTCGCTGGCCTTGACGAGACGGGTTCACTGCGTCGTTGTTGCGTGCGAAATCTGCTACTTTGCAGCAACTTGAAAAGAACATTGCAAGAGAAAACGGCTACTTCTCTGCAATCCCATAGCTTGTCGATCAATTTGTATGGAGAAGTGCCTCGTGGATGGAGAACATGTATTCACGCAGCTCCATTGTTTTTCCTGGGTGAAGATCTGCTGTGTTGATGTCGATCCATTTTTAACGAAGATGGCTCCGTCAAAATAACTCGATCGTTATCGACACCAGTCAGAAGATGCGTCGATTGTGCAGTCGCTGGTCACGAATGTTGTCTCAATGATGATGATTTCCCATAGTGTTGTTCCCGCTGCATTCGCGCCATCGATTCCGCACCGATCCGACGATCCACGTTCTCCTGTCAGTTTTCTGCTTGTAGCTATTACCAAGTAGGTAATTCTGTGGCAGATTTTGACTTTGCAGATGTTTTGCGCGCCAAATTCGTCACCAAATGAAGGAATTCGAATTTGGTCGTCCAGATGATGTCAGCTATGTTGAAGGCGGCTGATTTCTGGTTCTGCGCGTCATTCTCCCTTTAAGCAGAAGTCATGCTCCATCTCGTCCGTTGAAGTAGAAGTCGATCCGACGGTCCAAACTCCAAGCGATCCGAGGATACTCCTTAGTCGCGTTCATCAGCTTTCCGTGCTCGGGTGATCTCGTTTCATGCAGCAATTCTCGGTCGTCGATGTCGGCTGTCGAACGATCGGACGCTCCGAAGAATTTCGCGGCTTGCGAGGTCCCATTCCCGTTCGTGCTGAAACTTGGACTCGCTCCGCAGGATTTCGTTTTCGCCTCGGTCGATCTGAAGCGTCGAATCCCCATCGGACGGATGTCGTCGGTCGCAGCTCCGCACATTTCCGCGCAACTCCAAGTGTCGTCGTGAACTGCGAACTCCTTGGAATGTCGCAGGGAGTGTTCCGCCAGAAGTGAAGCGTTCGCGAGGTCGAGGTCGTTTGCCCCAGCGAAAACTCTGCACCGTCGATGCAGTCCATCGAACGGTCGGCAAGGCATCTCGCCTTCGACGGGGACCCCCGGTGCAACTGCGAGACGTGAGTCGAAACTTAAATGAAAGTGCATTGTACTTACAGGAAAAGATGTTTCGACTCCATCCTCCGCGTGCTCCTGGGGGCCCAGCGGTTAAGAGTTGAGCTGAAACCTTGGCTTTGATTACCAAGTGTCACAGGATCGAATGTGTCGAGGAAAGGTTTGCTCAATGTTGCACTATCAATCAGTGCAAGGTGCTTTTATACTTCCATAATACATCAGGTAACCAGGTTTATCCTATCCAAAGGGAATAGACCCTTCTAGAAATAGAATCACCATGTGTATAGCCACGTGAGGCTATTGGCTTTAAGGGATTACGGCAGGATTACGCTAGATATAGCGCGCCAGTACATCCCGAGCCTGGTCGGTGATATAATCATAATAACAGGATAAACCAAAGGATAATGGAAAAGGAGGAATAGGAAACCAAATGAGATGAGATAAAGACCAAATGAATCAGGATAAAAAAGAGGAATGAAAAAGAAAGGAAATATGGAAAGGGGAAATTGGTGTAACGGTATCGTACTCTCACAGTTTCCCTCCTCTCCTCCCCTCTCTCCTGACCCGACTCCTCCGTCTCACGTCAGGGTTCGTCTTCCGCCTCGTGCACGTCCTACCTCCCCTGTTCCGCGTTCTCACCCTATCTTGCTTCGTTCCCACGTGTCTCGTGCTCCTCCGCTCCTCCCGTCTCCTCCTCCGTCATCGCTCGCTGTGGCCCCGCCCTTGTTCTCTCACTTCCTCTGTGCCACGCATCCCCTTGTTCCTCGTGTCCTTGCCTCTGTTGTTGCCGACCCGTCCGTTCCTGTCTCGAGTCTGTTGGCTCTTGTTGCTGCTGTCACTGACTTCGCCGCTACCCGCCGCCTTGACTACCCCAGTGCTTTGGTCTTTGACCCTGCCTGCCCTCCGTCCGTCAGGGGTGTGACTGCCCTTGGCAGTGACGTCCTAGAGGACAGACAGTACGAGCTTGCTTTCCTATCAAAGGCCACTCCCCATCTCTGTTCCATGCTGCTAGTCCCTGAGGGTGACCCAGACGCCCTTGACATCCCGACCCCTCGCACCTACGCTGAGGCGACTTCGGGACCCTGGGCCTCTTAGTGGATAGCTGCCATGGAGCAGGAGATGGCATCTTAGAGATCCACTGGTACCTTCGTCGACGCACTTCCCCCACCTAGGGTGAACGTAATCGATGGCCAATGGCTCTTCAAGGTGAAGCGCCCTCCTGAAGAGCCGCCTCTCTTCAAGGCGCACTACGTTGCTCGTTGCTTCAGTCAGCATGAGGGGGTTGACTTCTTTTAGACCTTCGCCCTGACCCCAAAGATGAGTACTCTTTGGGCACTGCTACACGTAGCAGCACAGCGTGACTACGAGCTCCACTCCCTCGACTTCTCCCCAGCTTTCCTCTAGGGCAGTCTACACGAGCAGGTCTACTTGCGCCGCCCCTAGGGCTTCTCCGGTACGTTTCCCCCTGGTACCGAGTGGCTCCTCTGGTGCCCCATCCACGGTGTGCGTCAGACGCCTCATGAGTGACACGACATGCTGCATGCTACACTTGTTGACCTGCAATTCTTCCCATCGTCTGCAGACCCCTCGCTCTTCGTCCGTTCTGGCCAGACTCCGTTCTACCTCCTAGTTTACGTAGACGATCTGGTCTTCGCTACTGCAGACAGAGATGCGATGGCCTCCGTGAAGGCCGAGCTCCTGAGGAGACACACCTGCACTGACCTAGGATAGCTGCGCCGCTACCTTGGCTTGCAGATCTCCACGGACAGAGCCACGTGCACCATCACTCTCACACAGTCACACTTGGTGCGCCAGGTCCTTCAGAGGTTCGGCCTTCAGTTCTCTTCCGCACAGCCCACCCCTCTGTCAGTAGACCACATACTATCTGCTCCAGTCCTGGAGGAGGCTTTTGAGCCTAGTGGTCCTTACGCTGAGCTGGTGGGCTGCCTCATGTACCTGATGACTTGCACTCGTCCAGATCTTGCATACCCTCTCAGCATCCTGGCCCGTTGTGTGGCCTGCGGCAGACACTGACCACAGCACTGGTATGCAGCTAAGAGGGTTCTGCGTTATCTAGCAAGTACATCGGGCATGGGGCTAGTGCTAGGAGGAAGTTAACCAGTGGTCCTTACCGAGCACACTGACGCTTCTTGGGCAGACGACGCCGAGAATCTCAGGTCCTCCCAGGGCTACGGCTTTAGCCTTGATGTAGGTGCTGTCTCGTGGAGGTCCACCCGCTCGTCGTCTGTTGCCCAGTCTAGCTGTGAGGCTGAGATCTACGCCGGTGCCATGGCGGCACAGGAGCTCCGCTGGCTGACTTTCTTGCTCACAGATTTAGGTGAGTGGCCTAGCTTCGCCCCGGTCCTATGCGCTGACGACAGGGCCATGATCCTCCTGTCTCAGGAGCCCAGACTCGAGGGCAAAGCAAAGCACATCCAGCTGCGGTACTTCCTTCTGCGTGAGCTACAGCAGCGTTGCCAGGCCCGCGTAGATCACTTGGCCTCCGGTGCCAACACAGCTGATATCTTTACGAAGGCGCTTGCGCCTAAAGATCATCAGCGGCACTGCATACAGCCCGGTCTCGTTCCTGCAGCACCTCATTTGCTAGGAGCTTTATTGTGTATAACTCTTTGTAGATTATCATGACTGGCCTTATGGCTTTCTCTCAGTGGCTGGACTAGTTGTGCCACTGTCACTGGATCGAATGTGTCGAGGAAAGGTTGCACTATCGATCAGTACAAGGCGCTTTTATACTTCCAAAGTATATCAGGTAACCAGGTTTATCCTATCCAAAGGGAATAGACCCTTCTAGAAATAGAATCACCTTGCATATAGCCATGCGGGGCTATTGGTTTTAAGGGATTACAACACGATTATGCTAGATGGAGCGCGTCAGTACATCCCGAGCGTGGTCGGTGATATAATTATAATAACACGATAAACCACAGGATGATGGAAAAAGGAGGAATAGGAATCCAAATGGAATGAGATAAAGACCAAATGAATCAGGATAAAAAGAGGAATGAAATGGAAAGGGAATATGGAAATGAGAAAGGAATGGAACGGGGTCGTACTCTCACACTTCCCCCCTCAAAGCTGGGTGGTAGAAGGAACACACTGCTTGACAAGGTAGTCGTGAAGAGGACGATGAGCGTGATCCATCTCGAATTCAGAGACCCAGCTATCCTCTGAAGGATCATAACCCTTTCAGCGGATGAGAAGCTCCACGTTGCCATTCCGTCGACAACGGTGAGCAAGCACAGACTCGACCTCGTACTCGGGTTCATCATTGACGAGGATGGGCGACGGCGGCGGCGGTTGGGGTACAGAGAAGACTGTGTTGGGATCTCGGTAGGGCTTCAAGAGTTGGACATGGAAGGCGTTGTGAATCTTCCAGGTAGCTGGCAGGCGTAAGCGGAAGGTAACAGGAGTGACCTGTGCTTCAACGAGGAAAGGCCTGCGGAAGCGAGGTTGCAGTTTGGATGGGAGATGACTAATGTCAAGATTGCGCTTGTCGAGCAGTACTCGGTCTCCCACGGTGATGGTGTGGTCTGTGCAGTGGCGATCGGCCTGGCGCTTCTATTGTTGTTGAATGTCGAGAAGGCGCTTCTGGGTCCGATCCCAAAGTTTGTGCATGGTCGTGATGAAATCATGAGCCGGTTGGACTGTGGCTGGTATGTTTGGCTGTTGAGGTGTGAGTGGGTGGTGTCCGTAACATAGGAAGAACGGCGTCTGTCCAGTAGCGGTGTGAGTAGCATTGTTGTAGGCAAACTCTAGGATGGGCAGATGCAAGTCCCATTTGGAGATGTCGTCCTTGCAGGCTGCGCGTAGGAGTTGCTCCACAATTTGGTTGAGGCGCTTGGTCTGTCCATCTGTCTGCGAATGGTAGGCGGATGACATGGCGAGTTTGGTCCCGAGTAGAGACATCAGTTCTTTCCAGAATTTACTGGTGAACTTAGGGTCTCGGTCGGAGATGAGTGTGGTCGGAATGTCATGTTGTGAGATGATGTAGCGAACAAAGAGTTGTGCCATCTCCTTGGTGCGTGCTGTGGTGTGTGTCGGGATGAAGTGCCCCATTTTGGAGAACTTGTTAATGACGACAAGGATCGCGTCATGACCACTTGTGGTAGTTGGTAGCCCGGTGATGAAGTCTAGGCTTACCACTTGCCATGGCTGTTCTGGGACAAGAAGAGGGTTTACATTACACTTACCGAAGTGTCCAGCGTACAGGACGTCATGGTATTCTTCGAGTAGAAAATAGCGCAAAGGAGGGAAATTAGGTACCCAGATCTTTGTTGATCCTTTCCGGTACGCGATGTCGTTGTCCCACTGTTGCAGATGTCACTTTTATGCCAAGGGAATTTTGGGGTCGATGGTGTACTCGTGTGTGAAGAGTCCCTTGAGGAATGGGTTCATCCCTTCGACTTGGATTGCGGCAACGTGCGCAGGCCAGCTAAGCGCATTTGCTTTGCTTTTATGGCTAGGCTTGTACACGATGTTATAGTGGAAGTGCGTCTCGAGGAAGTCAATCCACCGGACCTGCCGCCTGGAGAGGCTTGGTTGTGTCTTCAAATATTTTAGGCTGCAATGGTCGTTGTAGACTGTCGTCTTGCGTCCTTTGAGATAACATCTCCACGTTTTGAAGGCGATGATGATAGCAAGGGCCTCCTTGTCGTGTATCGGGTAGTTGAGTTCTGCCCCATGTAATATTTTGCTGAGGTAGGCAATTGGTTGTAGGCCATTCCCCTGGTCTTGCATCAAGACTGCTCCCACTGCCTGGTCGCTGGTGTCAGCTTCGATGACGTAGTCGCGTTCGGGGTCTCGCAAGTTGAGTACGCGTGCGGACGTGAGTGCTTGCTTCAGCTGCTCCATGCCTTCTTGGTGTTGTGGCTCCCATTTATAGGGTGTGTTGTTCTTCAGCAAATTTGTGAGTGGCGCGGCGATCTTCGCGTATTGCGGCACGAACCTGTTGTAGTAGTTAGCAAAGCCAAGGAACTGCTGTGGATAGTAAGCGCTCAAGGAGTGGGTGTAGGATATGATTCATCTCTGCTTGGAACGTTGCAGGTGCGTTGGTGAGTCCGAACGGCATTACAAGATACTCGCACGATCCCTACCGAGTTCGGAAGGCAATTTTGTGAACAGAACCGTCTGCCATTCGTATCTGCCAGTATCAGGACCACAGATCTAGTTTTGAAAATACCATGGCTCCCCGAAGCTGGTCAAGCAGATTATCGATTCGTGGAATCGGATACTTGTTCTTGATGGTCTGCTTTTTGAGAGCCCGATAGTCGATGCACATGCGCAGGCTTCCGTCTGGTTTTGTTGTGAAGAGTACTGGGGCACCGTATGGCGAAGTGGATGGTCGGATGAGTCCTTTGGCAACGAGATACTGGATCTGTTTCTTCAGGTCGGCTAGTTCTGTGGGGCTTAGCCGATATGGTGCTTTGAAGGTCGGTTTCGAACCTGGTTCCTCCACGATCTCATGTTGGTGCTTTCGGTATGGCGGTAGCTCGTCTGGGAGGTCGTCGGGAAGAATGTCTTGGAACTCCTTCAGTATTTCCTTGATTTATCTTGGAGGTTCCGAGGTCTTCTCCTCGTCCCTTTCCACGTTTGTTGCTAACGCCAGGAACCCGGTGTTGGTTCGTTTCACGTCCTTCTCGAATCTGGCGAGTGTCTCCACTGGGATATCTCCTGTATCGTCCCAGTTGGGTAGCTGGAATTTCGATCGGTCGGATCAAACTACTCAGGTGGGCGCAGTTTCGGAGCCTCAAGAAATTGCTGCGAGTGCTGCGTCGTCGACGTTGTCATTTCGTGTAGCACGCCGACGAGTCGAGTTACTCGCTCGATTTCTTATCACCAAGTTTCGCGGTTGGCTCGCATCTCCTCCTGCAGGGCGGCGATGCTTGCGAAGAGCTGCTGGGTAACTTCGGCATTGTCGAAGTTCGCCATCCTGTTCAAAACACGCGCAGAGGGGGTAATTCGAAAAAACGCGGAGCTGGAGCTTACCAGAATCGGCGTCGAATTGGTCGCCCCTGGCGGTTTTTCGAGGTAGGATTCTCGCTGATGCTGCTTAGCTGAGCGCGGCCGAGTGAGAAAAGCTCTGATTACCAAGTGTCACAGGATGAGTGTGTCGAGGAAAGGTTGCACTATCAATTGATACAAGGCGCTTTTATACTTACAAAGTACATCAGATAACCAGGTTTATCCAATCCCAAGGGAATAAACCCTTCTAGAAAATAGAATCACCTTGCGTATAGCCACGCGAGGCTATTGAATTTAAGGGATTACAGCAGGATTACGCTAGATAGAGCGTGCCGGTACATCCCAAGCCTGGTCGGTAATATAATGATAATAACATGATAAACCAAAGGATGATGGAAAAGGAGGAATAGGAATCCAAATGGAATTAGATAAAGACCAAATGAATTAGGATAAAAAGAGGAATGAAATGGAAAGGGGAGATGGAAAGGAGGAAGGAATGGAACGGGGTCGTACTCTCACATAAATCGTCCACCATTCTTATCTACCAGTATCCGCACCGCAGATCTAGTTTTGAAAATACCGTGGCTCCCCGAAGCTGGTCAAGCAGATCATCGATTCGTGGAATCGGGTACTTGTTCTTGATGGTCTGCTTATTGAGAGCCCGGTAGTCGATGCACATGCGCAGGCTTCCGTCTGGTTTCGGTGTGAAGAATACTGGGGCACCGTATGGCAAAATGGATGGTCGGATGAGTCCTTTGGCGAGGATATACTCAATCTCTTTCTTCAGGCCGGCTAGTTCTGTGGGGCTTAGCCGATATGGTGCTGAGAAGGTCGGTTTCAAACCTGGTTCCTCTACGATCTCGTGTTGGTGAGTTCGATATGGCGGTAGCTCGTTTGGGAGGTCGTCGGGAAGAATGTCTTGGAACTCCTTCAGTATTTCCTTGATTTCTCTTGGAGGTTCCGAGGTCTTCTCCTCGTCCCTTTCCACATTTGTTGCTAACGCCAGGAATTTGGTGTTGGTTCTTTTCATGTCCTTCTCGAACCTGGCGAGTGTCTCCACTGGGATATCTCCTGTATCGTCCCAGTTGGGTAGCTGGACCCTCCTTCCTTTGTTATAGATGCTTGTGGTGTGGTTTACCCAATTGATCTCGGGGATGAATTTCTTGAGGAAGTCTCTCCCGAAGATCAGGTCAAGCCCTTTTATGCTGGTGATGGGGAGAGCAGGTTTCCAGCGCAGTGGACCGATTTGTAGGTGTAGCACTGCTTCGCCGTACACTGGTAACTTGTTGCCGTCCACCATCGTTGCAGAAAACGCTGATGGCTTGCACTCTTCTCGAAAACGGTCGATGGTTGCCTTGTCACATATGGTGTGCGATGCTCCGCTGTCCACAGGTGCTTGGAGGCGTCGTCCTTTGCAGATGACCTCGAGCACGAGGGGCAGGCGTTGCTCGGAGTACCCAAAGATAGTTTCATTGATTGGGTCATAGGGTACATCCCAGTATTCGTTGCTTCCTACTCCTGAGCTGGCAGCTGGCCGAGGCTGCTTGGAGAAAGGCTCTTCTCCAGGGCCCAGAGTTTCCGTGACGGCTGTGCGTGACGTTGAAGAATTTGCCGAGTTGGATGCATCCGAAGGAGGATTTTGGGGTTTTTGCAGCTTCTTGTAGACCCCCAGCTTCCTCTTAAGCTGCTTCAGCTCACCGACGTCTTCCCTGGGGAACGGGTAGTCGATGTGGGCTGGTATCGGGAGAGGATGTTGACTCCGTGGAAAGGTCGGCTTCTTTCCACACTCCTTAATTTCGTCCCCAAGTTCTCCGGTATTGGTATGATCTTGACAATTTTCTCCTTCTTCTGGAGTCCCTCCCGAAATTTCTCCAAGGCTCTAGCCCTTTGAGAATTACAAGTTTTCATTAAAGCATCTTTATAAGATAACTTTAACGAATCCTTATAATTTCTCGGGTCTTCAAGGAGTTTCCCCGTCTTGGCAGAGTCCTTTTTCGCGGAGTTAGATTTTTCCTCGGCGATTTCCTCTGGCGAAGACTGGTCGTGGGGTGGAGATTTTTCCCCATCATTTTCTCCTATTCACGTCGAATCAGCTGCGTCGAAGTTGATTTTTCCGGAATTCCGCGGCCGCATTCGGATCTTTTCTTTTTCGCCAGCTAGATCCGCAATCACTGGCGAGTCCCGTTTTTTTGCTTCTGATTGGCCGAAGGATTTCCGCCACTGTTGCGTGCCCGATACTCAGCACGTGTGGCTTTCATTTTGTTGCAGTCGAAGATTCGATGACCCGGCACCCCGCAAAATCCACGCGTGAAGTTGGTGTTTTTCGGACGTGGCCGCCCTTCGAACCTGTCGACTTCCATCGGGTCGGCGAACGTGGGGTGAGCCGAGCGACCGCCTTGTCGCGTACTGCTGACGTGCGCCCGTCGTGTCCCGGCGTTGACCATGTCGAAGCGTTCCGCTGCCGATACGATGTCGCTGTAGCTCGCGTAGTTTGTCGCTGCTACTTGTCGTTTGACTTCGGTCTCCAGCCCGGCGAGGTACGATAGTACTTTTTCCCCTTCGGTCAGGTCAGGAATGCGGTTATAAAATTCTTGCATCTACTGCGTGTACTGTGCTACACTCCCGAACTGTCGATGGCGATGAATTTTTTCCCGGGCAAGGAAACCCGAATTTATCGGCTCGAAACGTTTCAGCAGGTCGGTGCGGAACTGCTGCCACGTGGCTTCGCCGTGGATGAAGGTGCTGTTACCGCCGATCCACTCGAGTGCCGGTCCTCGCATCAGTGTTGCCACGAGTTGTACGCGTTGAGACTGACGAGCACCGTCCGACAGCTGCGAAGTAGATCTCCATGCCGGCGATCCATCTGCGAGCGTCGGAATTTCGATCGCTCGGATCGAACGGCTCAGTTGGGCGCGACTTCGGAGCCTCGAGAAATTGCGGCGACTGCTGCATTGTCGCCGTTGTCGTTTCGTGTTGTACGCCGACGAGTCGAGTTACTCGCTCGAACTCTTGTCGCCAAGCTCTGCGGTTGGCTCGCATCTCCTCCTGTAGGGTGGCGATGCTTGCGAAGAGCTGCTGGGTAACTTCGGCGTTGTCGAAGTTCGCCATCCTGTTCAAAACACGCGCGGAGGGGGTAATTCAAAATAACGTGGAGCTGGTGCTTACCAGAATCGGCGTCAAATTGGTCGCCCCCGGCGGTTTTTCGAGGCAGGAGTCCTGCTGCTGCTGCTTAGCTGAGCGCGGCCGAGTGAGAAAAGCTCTGATTACCAAGTGTTACAGGATCGAATGTGTCGTAGAAATGTTGCACTATCGATCAGTACAAGGTGCTTTTATACTTCCAAAGTATAGTACATCAGGTAACCAGGTTTATCGTATCCAAATGGAATAGACCCTTTTATAAATAGAATCACCCTGCGTATAGCCACACGAGGCTATTAGCTTTAAGGGATTACGGCAAGATTACGCTAGATAGAGCGCGTCAGTACATCCCGAGCCTGGTCCGTGATATAATTATAATAACAGGATAAACCAAAGGATGATGGAAAAGGAGGAATATGAATCCAAATGGAATGAGATAAAGACCAAATGAATCAGGATGAAAAGAGGATTTTTGAGACACGGGCTTTCAAAAACTCTGATTGGACTAGACAAACTTTTAAGATTTCTCTGAAAATTTCAGACTAGGTGTACCAGTTTCTCTGATTTTTAAACAACTGTTTTGAGTTTCTCTGAAACAAAGACATACAGGTGTATGGTTCTCCCACGCGAATATTCCTTTTTTCGCGTCGCCACACGTTGTTCCCCCCTCCGCATCCGTGGCATTAAGCTCACACGCGAGCCTTCCCGAGCCTTCTGTGGCAACATCTGATGTGGCTAGAGCACCTGTGATTGGATACTTAACGGTATTGCAGCAAAGCAGACCAGTCAGAGCCCTTTGCGGCGCCTTACTTCTCTAGCGCACGGTGGGGATCAGACCATGCCTCACCCCATGCAGTGACCTTGTTGCAGCATATGTGCACCACTGTACGTCATCCCGCCCATCACAACGTGTCATCCCACCCCATCGTCTCGTCACTTGCCAGTCCGTGCTGCCATGGCACTTGACCAAGAAACCCCCTCCCCAACCGCTTCTTGGTCCCTTCATCTCCACCTGGTTCTTCCACCCACTCCTCTTACCTTATAGTGTTGTTGTCGTGCGTCATGCTATCCTGCTCATGTTCTGGTTCAGGTTTAGAATCCCCTCTCGAAGTAGGGCCAAACTGGCTATCGTTGTCGAGGCTAACAGCGACGATCAGCCAGAAGGGTGTAGCGAACCCCCGCCTCCCATGCGAGGCATAGACTTTCTGCATTCAAAGCTGTCACGCACCCCTGCTGCAGAATCCTCCCGTTGCCCAGCCGCTATCGACCCTATGCTTGTGCCTTCCTCAGCCGAGCCCTCGCCATGGCCCGTGCCACTAGCATCCCCTCCTTTGTCGCCTGCGCGTTCATCCAGCCTGTCCTTGCCTCAGCCCTCGCAGTCGCCCGCACCATCGTCGGCGGTCCGCTTGGAAACCGATGCCGAAGCATCAGCTCGCTCCTCTGCCAAAAAGTGAAAGTACACTGAGGGAAAAAACTGTCCGGATGCAGGGGCTCTATTGCGTTTTTTAGCCATAATTTCAGAGAATGATTAAGCCTTAATGTGAGAACATTCTTGTGTCATGGGCACATGTAATCTCAACTCTGTCCCCTGGTGTTAGCTCGTTTACCTCATACAAACATGCTCACGACACATTATACATACAAGGTCATCATCCGGACAGTTTTTTCCCAAATCACCAAAAGATCTACTAATCCAGATTCTAGAAGCTAGTCCACCTTCCCCCAGCCTTGATCACAGCACGCACACGCTTCGGCATGCTGTCTATGAGCCTCTTGCAAAAATCCGCGGGAATCTGCTCCCACTCCTCTTGGATCCGCTCCCAAAGTTCCACCATTCCTGATGGTGGCTGCTCGTACTTGGACAGCTCCTTTTTGAGGTGAGCCCAGAGGTGCTCGATCGGGTTAAGATCGGGGGAGGAGGAGGGCCAGACGAGCACGGAATAGTCCTGCTCCCCAAGGTATTCCTGCACTAGGCGACACTTATGCTTGGGGTCGTTATCATGTTGGAATATGACTTTACATGGCGTGAGGCTATAGAACTCGATAGTGGATGTGAGTTCATCCTGTAAAATGCTGCGATACAATGGCCCATCCATCCTCCCATCAATCTTGCACATAAAACCCGCGCCGTCATAGGTCAGGCACCCCCACACCATCACAGAACCCCCTCCATGCTTCACCGTTTGTCGGATTTGATGGCTCTGCAGGGTGTTGCCGTCGCGGATCCAGGCGTATGCGCGGCCGTCCGAGCAAAACCGATTTATCTTCGTTTCGTCGGACCAAATAACGCGCTTCCAGTCCTCGAGCGTCCAGTCTACGTGCGCCCTAGCAAACTCTAGCCTGTCCTTAATGTTCTGCTTGGACAGTCGCGGTTTCTTCGGTTGCGATACTGCGACTAGACCAGCTTCACGAAGTGAATTCCTAACTGTCTTGGGGCATACGTTAACATCGTGTGCTGTTCCTAGCATTTTTGCCGCGTCAACGCTCGTTTTCGCCACGCCACTAGTAATAGCTCGAATAACGGTGCGCTGGAGTCGGTGTGATATAACACGTGGCCTTCCACCTGGCGGCATCGTGGGTCGCACCTCATCGCGGCTAGTCTCTGCGATGACTTTGAGACTGTAGTCATGGACGGTGCTTTTACCTACACCTAAATCTTTCGCTATTTTCCGCACGCTAACCCCCTTGCGCAGAAGCTCGATCATACATGCTTGTCGCTTCTCATCGACCGGCTTCATGGCGTCTGGACCGTGTGCGGACTACGGGGCTACGGAGCGGCGGCGAGAAGTTCGCTAGATCGAGACCTAAATCAAGAACGGAGGCGAATGTAGATGTCGAACGTCGATCGGAAAAAACTGTCCGGAAGCAGTCCATCATCCTACGTTAGTCATCTTCGTTATTACA